GCCTCCCCCCCGGTGGAGGGGAGGGCACATACTCTGAAAAGTAGTGTGCCGGAGGGAGGCATCCATCGACAGCGACGGGGCTGGGCTGGCTAGTGGCCACGGGCAAAAGGGCCGTGGCTGGTGTCGGATGTTGGATCGCACGACGGGTTGGCGCAAGCACCGGCAGGGCGATCGCGCCCGCTTGCCCAGTCGACGGGGATAGGCGCTCGGTCGGGCTCCTGGAGGAAGTGCTGCTGACGCTCGCAAAAGGGAGGGAAGTCCCACCGTCAGCCGTCCCCAGCAGGCAGGTCAGCGCGTCGAGCAGGGACATCACCTCAACCTGGCTCAGCTCGTTTGGCGGGATCCCAGTCGACTGGCCCCAGGAGAATCGGTGATATAAGGAGAGGAGCTCAGTACGGGAGGTAAAGTCAAAGAGGGGAAGAGAGTGTGAGAGAGAGAGAGAGGAAGAGAGAGGTAAATAGACAGGGAACGGGAGCAAATACGCACATCGACCGGCTGCCGAACCGATTGACTGAGCCCCTCATGGACCCGGGCCACAGCGGCCATGTCCACCATGGAGCTTGGGGCCGCCGACTTCGGGGCCGAAGCCTCCACCGTGAAGAGGACCTGCCCGGGCCGACCAGGGCACCCGGGAGCAAAGGGGGTCGCCGGCATGGATCCGGCGAATGATGCTGACATTGTTGACGAAGGCCCAGGCCCGGAGTTGGGCCCGCCACCGGCAAAAGTGTCTTCGAGCTGCGATTGCGACGTGTCTGACATGCATGGGCTTTCCGGCAGCCGCAGGGAGGCCGCCGGCTGCTCCTCCTCGCCGGCATGCTCGGCCCCGGGCTTTAGCAGGTCGCGCAACAGCTGGCTGGCCTCCGGAGGGCGGCTCCCATGCCAGCGCTGGCCAACGGCATGGCGCTCGGCTCCGGACAGGCGCTGTGTGGGCGTGGCAGATCCGGGCTCCAATCGGCCGCCGGTGCCTATCGGCTGTGCGGAGACGATTTCCATCGCCACCGGGTGGATATCTGTGTCGCAAGGGGGGAAAAGGGCAATCAACCCGTCAGACGGATTCGAGCATGGAGGCCCAACCGACAGGGGGGGAAATCCCCGAGGGGCACGTGGCGCACCGCCAAACCAACAATCCATCTCCAAAGCGCAGTGTGTCTCGGGGCGCCAGGGGGACCGCCGGGCACCGGGCCGCTTGACCAGGTCGCCGCCACGACGGATTTGCAAGCGGCGAAGGGGGAACTCGACCGGGCCCCCGCCGGCGATGCTGGCGTCCAAGTGGAAGCGCGACACAAAATCCATGTGTGCCTGCTCGCGGCGGCCTGCACGATTAGACCGGAGGACATGGGGAAAAGGGCATGCTGGGGCGGCACCAAAAGGAGCGAAAAGACCCCCAGGCAACGGGCCACAAGGTCGCACCTCAAAAGGTTGCATCCGGCCGGGCGGGATTGCCCCGCTGCTGAGCAACACCGCTAAGCCGGCAACCAGGCGCGGGTCCACCCTTCAGGGGGAGAATGGGATTCATGGTCAGAAAAGAGCGCGCGCGCGCGCGGATGGCGGCCCGAGCATGCAGGCGGGATGTCCACCATATGGCCACGCACATGAAGATCTTCATGAACAGGCTTGCCCGATGATGAAACCCATAGAAGGAGAAGCCTCGGACGATGTGAACAGCATGCACAGCGGGCAGTGGCTCGGCCGAGGACCGGCGCCCAGCGGGGCCCTGCTGTCGGGTGGCAAGGGCCCGCATGGCCTCATTGCATGTATGCATGAATTCACCAATGTGCCGGTGTGTGGCATCTATGCCAGACCACCGGATGGCATGATGTCAATGAGAGAGAGAGAGAGATCGACATGTGTCTCTGCACAAACACACGGAGAGGGAAAGAGAGCGAGAGAGGGAGATGCGCGCGCGCGAGTTTCAAAGGGGGCAATCCACGCGCACTTGGCGAGTGTGGCGCACCGCTGTCCAAGATGCTGGGCTCCTCCTCGGCGGGGGCACCACTCCCGGGCATTTCGTAGGGAACATAGAAGTAGGGCAAATACTGTCGCCAATGTAGAAGTAAGAATGCCATTGGAATGTGCTTTTGAGTAGTGGGTGGGGGTGGGAGCGTCTACTCGGGAGCGTACCCCGTGCACAAGGATGCAGATGCTGGCTCCCAGCACTGGATCGGTCGACGAGGGTGGGTCGTCGGGCGATTGGCGCACATCACGGAGGCCCATCACCCGGCCAAATAGTCGGACCACGGGCAAACGGCCGGCGCTCGAGGCAGAGGAACATACCTCCGCGGCCACCGGCTCCGGGGATGAGCACGGGGAGAGGATATAGTCCACCGCAAGCACGCGGATCTGAAGCATGGCTGATTCGACCATGGCGCGTTGATGAAGAGGTGGCGAAGAAGAGGTGGATCATGCAGAGAGAGAGAGAGAGAGAGGGGGGGGGGATGGGGATGGGATGAAACGGGGTTGATAGGGATGGGGCCGGCGGGGATAGGGCCGGCCGAGTATGCGCATAGAGAAGGACGAAAGGAGGCTGATCTGCAGGCGGTATGGAAAAATGTCTATAAATCTATTCGGCAGGCCGTGGAGATATGGCGGCCTGCAGGATTGAGGGGTGTGTCGAGGGGGGAGGGGGGGGATCTTGGGGCCACCCGCCGGGTCTTCCCCGAAAACAGGAGCTCCGAACCGCATCCCTGCCGGCACCCAGCCAGGGGTGCTCTGTCCCGTTGAACCGAGGGGGTGGTGCCGTTCGGCGCTTGTGCTTGCGGCGCGATCGCCGGGCCCCCCAGATGCCAACGATACTCGCCAGTCTGTTTGGGCCAGATCACTGGTCCCCGTCCTCCGGGTCGCTCTCCTCGTCGGTGGAGGAATCAGACTCCAGCAGCTGCTGGCGGTAGGCATCGGCGAGGGCGTTGATGTCGATGCTGCCCATGGAGGCATCGATGAAGTCCTTCGGCACGCGCGACAGGAAGGTATCCCGCGCGGGCTGGACTCCGACCGCCGTGCCAGAGAGTCGGAGGATAACCGGCTCAAGGAGCTTGAGTAGCGTGTCAGTGCATGGGTTTGCGGGAAGGAGGAGGGGAAGAACAAGGGCAAGAAGAACCAGGAGGAGAAGAGGGAGAGAGGGAGAGAGAGGGAGAGAGAGAGAGAGAACGGCTGTGTAAAGGAAATCGGAACACACCTCGGGCGGAATGTCGTCATCCCGAGTGAGGGGGGGGTGGATGAAGGGCTCGAGATCCTCCTTCGGGGGAACAACCGCTGTGCCACGTGAAACAGGCGTGGTGGGGGGGGGGGGGGGCGGGGACAAGCCACAGTCAGAGGCTAGTGCATCGATCTTGGCCGAGGCCAGAGTGGCGAAGCAAAGGGTCAAGGAGAGGGCGAGAGAATGTGTACCCTGTGTCAACTCAGTCCAGTTGAAGAGGAGAGGCTCGGTAACCGTGGCGTAGGGCGCGATGTCGACAAGAATGCATCGCTTGAAGGACTCCGGGATGAAAACATCGAAGACGACTGTGGCAGTGTCGAGGTCAACACGCAGCAGAGGAGCGACGAGGAGAAGGAGAGATGGAGAGAGAGAGAGAGAGAGACAGAAGGAGCGCATTTGCGCCGGTGAGCGAAGAAAAGGTGATCCGTATCAGAAGGAGAAGGGAACCAACGTACAGTCATCGATCGTGATGGCCGGCGCGAGACAGAGTTTGCTATAGAAGAAGCGGACAATTGCCTCGACAATGGAAATGCGCTCGGCGCCCAGGAAGTCATAGTGCGTGGCATAGTCACGCTGGGAGATCCCTGCAAACAAAGGAGACGAGTGAGAACAAGTCAGCAGGGAGGAAGAACAGAGAAGGGGGGCGGGGGGGGGGGGGGGGGCTCCAGGAGGGGAGCAGAGGGGAGATGCATCGAGAAACAGGACGCACCAATGAGGCGGCGGTTCTTCACGAAACACCGGAACTCACGCGCCACGTGGAACACCCGCCAGGCTCGCAGGGTCAACGACAGGCGAAGAGGCCGAACGGGCCCGCCCTCGAAATCGTCACAGGCATCGTAGCTTGTCGATCAAACAGCCAGGCAGATGGCAACACAGGTGCAGGTCAGAAACAAGGCAGGGCCACTCAGCCAAGGACACCGGCACACAGGCAAGGGGAGACGCATACGGATGAAGGATGTCGTGGCTGACATAATCCGAGGCTCCCAGCAGCAGGAAGACATCCTCGGCAGTCATGCACTTGAGTGTTTGGTTGGGGAGCATCCAGGTGGAGTCCTGGGCGATTGAGCGGGCCGATTGAGCGGGCCGATTGAGCGGGCCGATTGAGCGGGCCGATTGAGCAAGCAGAGGAGGGAGGGGAGTCCTCAAGGGGTCAGGAAAACCATGTGGAACAGCCGGCCAGCGAGACGGGCAGCCCACAGAGCAAGCCGAGAGCGGGGAAGAGGGCGAGAGGGAGACGACGAACCTTTGGAGAACTCCAATTGAGCTTTGGCAGGACAGCACCGCCAAGCGAGGCGATGGCCTCCTGCACGGCCAGGAAGACCGCGCGAACGTGAGACCGGACCAGGAGTTGCAGCTCCTCGGTCGACCGACCAGCCTGGTCCGCCTCCCACAGGGCATCGGTGTTGTCCAGATCGGCCGCGGAAAAGGCCGGAGCCGGGGCCGGCCACTCGGCCATCTCCCCGGCCGATGGCACATACAGCGAGTGCGACTCGAGGAAGCCCCTGATGAAGACCCGCGACAGGGGGACCACCAGGGAGGGGACCTGCAGGGAGGCCAGCCCCACAGACCAGGCGCCAGTGGCGCAGGCATCGACATCCGCCCGCCGGAGATTCGGGACCACGACCTCGGTCAACTCAGCCGGGTCATCCGGCAGGAAGGACCGGAGCGTATCAGGGGCGCCCATTTTGGCGAGAGGAGAGGAGTCGGAGGCCGAGAAGAAGAGGGGGGGGGCGCAACGGGGCGCAACGGGGCCGGGGGGGG